GTCATACCAAATTTCTTTTCCGCTATTTGCGAAAAACCTCAGGGGGCGGATAACCGCCCCCCCGTCGGTGCGCGGGTTAACCCGCGCCCGGCTGGGGGTCCTGGATTTCCACGCCCTGCTGGGGGGGGGGGTGTTTGAACACCTCCCCCCTTCTAACTCGGCTCCTGGGCCACGTAGCGATACGCGGAAGGCGGCGTTCGAAAGAGCGTCAAAAATAATGACGAAATCACTTCGGTCAATTTTTTGGTCAGGTCAAAGGTCAGGTCACCAGAGGTCATTGAAGGCAAAATTTCGCCGATTTTCAGGTCGAACGTCGATAATTTCCAAGAAGCCAACACATAACTCGGGAACCGATAGAGCTACAGCGCCGCGAAAAAGCGCATTCGATAGCCCTATTAACGCCCTTTCTGAGTAATTCTCTCAGATTTGACCTAACGTCAACGGTTTTGCCTGCAGGGGGCAAAAACTGCGAAAATAGCCGTTTTTTTCGGAAACAGTTTTTCTGCAATAACTTTTGACCCAAGCCTTGTACGAGCTTTTGTTTACCGGCATCGTATTCCTCTCGTCAAGACGCATCGAATGAACTATAACTTGACCTTGAAAGGTCAATTTGAAAATTTGACCTCAGGTCAAGGTCATGACCTGACCGGAAAGGGTCATGTTGCATACCAGTCGATCCGTATCGTCGAGCTGAACACATATAAGGCGTTTTCATCGCTCTAGCATGCCTCTATCAAAAGTTATTTGCGAAAAACTGTTATATACAATTCGTGACCTAAGATGACCTCAGGGCATAAATAGGGGTCACGGACACCATTTTCATGTTCAGTGTGTCTAAACCACTTGTAATTCAGTGTTTGGGAGTGTTTATAATGTCTTTCGTCCAAAAGAGGCGCATTTCAATTTTCTCCCATTGACTTTTAATGGGGAGGTCGCAAAATTGACCTGACCTTAGGTCATCGATATCAAAATTCTGAGATATACATTTTGTACATGCTATTGCTCTTAGCAATCGCTGAAAGTTTCAAAGCGATCGGTCACTCGGTGTAGCTATAACAGACATTGAAACTTTTTATGAGGTGAGGTCACTTCAAGTGACCTGGTGACCTGACCTTGAATGACCTTGGTCTAAAATTTTCACAACATGTGTAGAATTGATGTATGATAAGGTGTGCGCCGCCGTTTTTGAGATATTCGCAAAAAACCACAGGGGGGGGGGGTGTTCAAACACCCCCCCCCCCCAGCAGGGCGCGGGTTAAAGGTAGAATATGACATTGTGGGTCTCAGGGTAAATGGGTGCGTGTTCGGAGGAAAGGAAATTACCCACAATGAAAGAACGAAATAAACAGCGAAACGATGGTTAGCTATGGGTTAAACTGGGAGAAAAACGTGAGAAATAAAACTAGGAACTCGTCGAAATACTCAGCCTCTCTGACACTCTGCGTACGGATACTAAATTTATATTTGAACTGAGAGCACGTGCCAAAAGCCATAAAGTTCAAAACGAACAGGAAGTCAACGGGGGCGGAACTACACAGCCAAAAATAAAAACACTTTTTTACATAATCAAAAACGAATCGAGCATATGGAAACGACGAATAGTCAATCTAGAAATTACAACAAATTAAAGCAAGGACAGATATTAAATACGGTTGAAAACTATAAGACAGAAGTGACGATAATAACGAATTTACAATAATATAAAAGAGGAAAACAAACGTTCATGAAAAATAACAAACACTGCGCGAGGCGGCGATTGGCGGCGCAAAGGGCGGCCAGGCTGGGCGGACACGCCGCAGCTAAATTACCGGCGCTAGCGCGCCACAACATTTTTTTCCAGAAAATCCTTTCGTCCATTAAACGTCAATCAAACGCAACCGTCAGGGGTAAACTTCGATCGTGAATACGGCCACAAAAATAGCCCGTTACCCGTTACTCTTACCCCTACCTTAACCCGTGGTTGTGTGAATACGTCCACTGGAGGCTAAACCGTTGACCTGAGACCAAATCTGAGGATATGGCAGCGAAAGAGCGTTGAAAGAGCTATCGAATGCTTTTCCTGCGACGCTGTAGCTCTGTTGGTTTCCGAGTTATACTCCGGTTTTTTTTTTTGAAAATTGTTGAAATAGGCAAAATTTGACCTTTGATGACCTTTGGCGACCTGACCTTTGACCTGACCTAGTGAAGAGTTTTCGACACTATTTTGACGCTCCTATTTCGAATGCCCCTTGCCGCGTGTCGCTACGTGGCCCAGGAGCCGAGTTAGACGGGGGTGTTCAGACTAGTGGTGTCAATCGGTTACCAAAATTTCGGTATACCGATACCGAACCAATACCGATTCGGTGTTCGGTATTTTATACCAAAAGCATTTGGTATTTTGTCGGTATTATGAAAGTCAACTACTGTCATAAAAATTTGAAAACATATTTTTTATAAACCTTCTGAGCTCAAATTTGATTTGCTAAATGACATTGGATGAAGAAAAAGGACATCATGACACATTTCTCCCAAATGCATGATGTCATAAGAAAGGGGCAAACATGTTAGGTATCTGTAACATCAAACACATCAGTCTACCAATGTTAAATGGCAACTTATCAGTGCTAGCAAATTCCAATTCCATGAGGATAATTATCTTACAAAAAAAACTAATGTGCAAGACATAAACATGTATCAATGTTTAACTCACTGTATCCTGGAAAACATACTTTAAATGGACAGTATCATCGAAAAAAATCAATGTATGGAGCTGATTTTTTTTCTACTAGCATTTCTTATTTTTCTGAATCAGAAAAACATAGTTTGAGGACCGAACTCGGTGAAAAATATTTTTCATGAGCGAGTCATTTTCATGAGCGAACCACCACTACAAGCATGGCCGCCACTTTCGAAGCCTGCGAAATTACTACAGAACTGGCGCAGATAATACATTATTGACGCTACGCTTACGCGGCCGCTCTTCTGATTGAGTTGTCGTTAGGGAAAGGCAGCATAAGGTATTGCCCAGAAGATATCACGTGACAAGCTGAAGGAATTCCTTCAAGCTGAAGGAATTCCTTTGTTGAGCCGCTAGAATCCGAAGGAAACAGCGGAAATTGCCTACGACTATTTAATGAATTTAACGGTGATGAATAAGTGCGAAAAACGTTTTGGCTTTATAAAATTTGATGAAATGACCAGGGTATAAGTTTTATTACTGGCGGTCAATTCAAAACGGCGCAAACATTTAAACAGTGAAGATAGTGAAGCACGATTCAAAGTGTAGTACACCTTTCGTACTTTGAGCGGCGATAGCGGGATAACGGTGTGGAGCTTCGAGGATCGGTCTTCAGTTCCCGGACCAGAAAGGTGAGGCCTATGCAATGTCAAATTTCATCAAAATGGTGATACTGTCCCTTTAACTACCTTACTCAAAATTTCCCAAGCATTCATTAGTAACAAATTTGACTTTGTTTTGATGAGTCTGTGATTGATCTTGACCTTGTCTTGCTCTCCATTTCACTGCAATGCAGTTACATTATCCAAAAGTCAAAACCCTGTTTTTATAGCACTAGCTTCACCATTATCATCTAATATTGAAGGCAGCATTTATCACTTTATCATCACCCCACAAATTCTCAACTTCGCTCAACTTCAAAAAGATCCTGTGGATAATTTATTTTCTTTAATTAGTGTTCTCTTTCCTGCTCTCCTCAACAGATAGGAATCGCTAGCAATGTAATCAAAAGCATTCCTAAAATATAATTGGGTCTTAGCTTGATTCGCAAATACCAGTTTAAAAACTGAACACAACTAAGAACTTTTTAATGTCGCAGCTGCGCCAAAACCCGATGTACCTCAATAACTAATAAAGATAATTGGGCAACTTTGTTTTTCTGGTTCATCATTTTTTATCAATAATAGCTTAGAATCTTTCTTGAATTAATTTTGAGATGCGAAAATATGAACATCATGTTCATAACTTACGTGTTCTTAAGCAAAAAAGAAAAAACTTTGTTTTATGCAGTTCCGTGCGTTTCGTGCCTAAATGCAAATGGCCGCCGCCTGCAAGGCTGCCATTGTGGAAGAGATGCCACGTGACACGTGTCAATGATTCCGTAAAATTATGGACATTTTACTTAGCTTTCATCGCGATATCATTACAGTGGTGTCTGCTATCTATCAGTGTGCCTCGTAAGTAATTATTTATCAAGATTTGTTGTGTTAAACATTTGTTTATGATGAAAAATTGGCTGCGTCACTATCGTCACCATCACTACTTGAGTTGAACTGTAGGTATCATGGATTTTGTTTACATTAATGGTATAGCCTTGCCCATCATTGTCATTTGGTTACCATTTTTGGATCATGATAACACACGTAACCCTGTCTTGACTGGACTTGAATTGAATGACTTGAATTGAAAGGACGTTTGATGGTTCAGGCATGGATGAGATTCAGGGTTCAAGTTCTTGTCCTATATCACCTCATGCAGATGACTTGAATCCACATCCCAGTTAAGTTACTGACCTGAATATTTGTTCATAGTTGCACAATACAGTTATATTTTTTGCAGTGGAAATAATTTAGAGATTTCCTGACTTGTTTTGGTTGCCTTATCTTAAAGTATTGCCTTTCAGTGCTTATCATTTGTTTTGAAAAAGTTTGAAGCATTTGTTTGATGATTCCCTGAATTCGGTACCTAGTCGGTATTTCACCCTATTTCTGCAAATCGGTTCGGTTTTGGTATACTCTCAGTAGTTTTGGTCGGTATCGGTTTGGTATTGGTTTCCAAAATTTCTGAAATTGACATCACTAGTTCAGACCCCCCCCCCCCCCCCCCCACCCGGCCCGGCGTGGATGGCGCCGAGTACTGCACCAGCCCGGCGCGGGTTAACTTGGCGCGTGACAACACAGCCGGCTCCCAGTCAATACGAACACCCGCCGCTTCAAGCTTTGTGCATGCGTGCGTGCGTGCGAGCGTGCGAGCGTGTGCGCATTAGTGCATACTGCATACTCACTGGATGGGAACTCCAAAATTTCAAATCCTCGGTAAGTCCGAATGAATTGCTCCTCAAAACACTGAAACTTGTCTTGCGGTTCCGGAAAAATATGAAAATTGAAGTCATCCTGGCCCCTGAAAATGAACATATGCTTGATTATTTGAGAGCAAGCCGGGGGAAAGGGGTAAATCCTCCACTTTTGTCAGGAAATGTACAAAACTGAAAACACAAATTCATATGGTACGATACTTGTTAAGTTTTAAAATGAGGCCGTGGTCTTAGGACGCAAAAGCAAAACTCGTGAAATTAAGCATTCAGTTCAGAGTAAGTCGGTCGTTTCGACACAACGTAAGTTCCGCAAACACTTAAGGGCAGAGGAAGAGAGAGAAAGCACCATCTCGAAACGTAATTTTAGTTACACATTGCTGGCAAGTTTCTGGCTCGAAGTAATGTTAACAACACATTCAAGGAACACAGCGGCGGCCGCAAACCCAATTTAGGGAGCCTGGCGATCACCGCTCGTGTGAGAGATGCACTACCCAGACCGTCAACGATTAGCGATACCGGGTCGCCCTGGCGAACTTTTGGAACGTCCTTAAGATCAGGACGAACAGAAGTCCGGAAGCACTCAAGTGCCAAAGTGCCAATGATTCCAGCAACACAACCACAGCTAAGACCGCTAAAGAAAACCGCGAGTAGCTGCGGGACAACTCCTGGCAGCGCGTCATCTCGAGGCTCGAGACACACCCGTGGCTGGCAAGCTCCCCGGACTGGACCCCACCGAACTTCTTCCTGTAAGTCCACTTCAAGTCCAAGGTGTATCAGAGCCACTCAAGAAGTCCCGAAGACCTCGAGGATGCAATGAAGTCGGCGGCGCACCGCCTGCCGTTTTAAGTGTGCCGTGCTGCAACAGAGGCCGCGCTACGCCGGGCTAAACTGTGCATCGATCGAAACAGTGCATCGATCGAAATTTACGCTCCGTATGTGAAGTGGGCCTTTAAGCAAAAAAATTCCGGCAGGCGGCTATTTTCAGACATGTGCTTGGATCCGGAAAAATGGATCTGAGATCCGATCCCATGGATCCCGATCCGAGATCCATTCAGATCATAGATCCAACCCCTCAATTTTGTCGAGGGATCTACTGAGATCATAGATCTGACCCTTCAATTTTGTCGCTAGATCCACTCGGATCATAGATATGGCTCACCAATTTTGTCGTGAGATCCATGGGGTCATAGCTCATAGGTGCTCAAAATGTTAACAACTGTCTTTCATAAGAAGTTATGAATACCAAAGTATGGTTAGAAACAAACAATCTTACACAAAGACCATATTAGTAAAGGCATCCAGTTACATTATACAGAATACAAAAAAGGAGGCTCATGACGGTCACAACTTGAGAGAATTGATTGACATGAAGATTGTTCACATACCAACAGAAAAGTTTGCATTAACAATTAACATAAAGGTAAGTCAAAGTTATGACTAATGAACAATTACATTACTAGGTACCTACCACATCTGACATCACAATTCATGTTAGAATCTTCATAATGATATTGATAAGACAATATTGCATTAGACAACCATGAGGATTTCCAGTTTCCAGCTAACACAATTGATTGATAAACAATAAAAGATGATACTGACACATGTGGCTTGGTTAGGTAAAGGTATTTCAATCTATTGAAATAAATATTTGATAAAATAAACTGAGGGATAAACAAAAGTATAAAAATATTCAACAACCTACGGAAGCGATGGGAAGCGAAATATCAATTGTAATGGCCTTGGATATTTACCGTAAAATGATTATTCAGTATCTAAATAGAACTTGTGACGTCATTTCAAATAATAAATGAGCTAAGCGTTCTACCTTCGAGTATAATGAAAATAAATAATAAAAAAATCAAACTGGAAATTCAAAAGTCTAGAGTTTTTTCAAAAGAATGTTCATTTTTTCTGCCTCACATAATTTTACGATACGATTGTTTGTGAATATCATCTTTGTAGCGTTGAATTTAATGACGTAAACGTAAGCTGAAACGGTATTACATGGCCCTGAGCTGGGTGTGCGCCTTGCATCTCTATTTTATTCACTTTTCAAAAGAATCACAATATCTTACGGCATTAGTTTGAAGGGCCTATTACGGGGAATCTTTTGCAATCATTACGGTTTTAGTCAAATAAAGATTTTTCATTGGTCAAACGATAATGACGCAATAAAACAATACTACCAAAACGTGAGCTGTGAATTTCGTTTGTCTTTTTTTTGGGAGGCTCTCTCATAACCAAAGCACAGCATGGCACCACACGTGGCACGATGCCAAAAGTAGGTAATCTGAAGATGTTGATGCCATTTTTGAACTTGTAATTTTATTAGGAAAGTATTAGAGGTTGGTTGCTATTCTTACTAAATTGAAATTGTGTTGCACATACTAATAGCTCATACGAACATTCTGGATTGGAATTTCATACCTGGCAGAAGTGGATTGCTGGATTATTTTTAACAAAACTGACCTATTTGGCTTCCAGGTTTGATATTCTAGCATCTGTCCATAGGCGGCGGAACCGGGGGGGGGGGGGGGGGTGGCACCAGGGTACAGTGCCCCCCATAGATTTTGGCATTTTAACATTAGCCCTACTGGCATTGCATGGAAAGAATGGGACCAAAATGAAAATCTGCAGTGCCCTGCTGCCACTGCATCTGTCTGTACTGTTTGTTCATTGAATTAAAGTGGCTGTAGCTTGTTGATAAGATTGTCATCAGTGCTGTCATGAAAAAATTACAATTGGTCACAAAAAGTAGCAATGTGCATGTTCTTGGTTTATTTTAAATGTAGTACAAATGTTGTTGATTTAAATTCAAATTTAATGATGATATCTAATGATTACAACTGGTCTTAACCATGTCCACAAGTGGCAATTCTCAATTGTATTGCACTGTAAGGTGTACAATTATGTAGGATAAGGGTTTCATTGGCTACATGTTGTCGTGAGATCCATACAGATCATAGGTCCTCCACACATTTTTGCCCGCTGGATCCACAGAGATCATAGATCCGACCCCTAAATTTTGTCGAGAGATCCATTCGGATCATAGATCCAACCCCTGAATTTTGTCGAGAGATCCACTGAGATCATAGATCCAGCTCTCGGATCCATGCACATGTCTGGCTATTTTTTCTGTTGGTAAAACCGGCCTCAGGTAAGGATCTCTCAATCAATTAAACGCTCAACGCGGAGATTATTCTTTCGGGTAAACGCGTTCGTTCTTTAAAAGGAAACTTCCATCGGTCAAATAGGAATATCGCAGAACTGCAGGATGAGAGAAGCTGTTTGTTTCCAGTGTTTGAGAGGTTAACCCTCGTTCTTATGGTGGGTCGGATTGACCCACCCCTCAGTTTTTTCGCAAGTAACTCGCGTTAAAAGTGGTTTATCGTAACGAAACTATTAGTATTTCCCGGGAACTTTACTCATTCCCTGAAAATTTCATGATCCTAGAACCCATTACCCTTGGGCCTGTGGCCTATTTCTCCAGACCATGTCAGGCCGAAATACCGATTCGGCGTATGTTGTGCACATTAGCCGTTTTCACGACGGGCTATCCGGCGAATGTACCTAATTTGACCAGATCTGCACCTTATCACTTTTACAGCAAATATCTTCATTTTATGAATTTATTTCAGTGTTTTAATCGATGATGCTCTCTGATAATATGACAAAACAGGCATATAAGCAATTAGTGCAACCCTAGCTGATAACATATAAGAGATACACTGAACCTAATTTGACCAAAGCGGCACCTAATCTGCACCAAATGTGTACCAGATGGCCGTCGTGAAAACGGCTAATGCCACGCCTGAAATATGGGACAAGTTTGAAACGTCACCGACAAAAAAGACTCGCATAGTCTTAACTTTTCGAAGCACCTATGACCTCTATGTCTACACCACTCGTACAGTATGTCTAAAAAGAATGTACCGTCGCCACTACGCGGCGCTGGTGTCGCGAGCCGGTAGTTGGCTGAATCCGCACCGAGACTCTACGTATTCCCATGCGCTCGGTGAGAGCTACGCAGCGGCCGATAGTAGCGTAAGCCCAAGCCTCCGTGACACGACCCCGAGAAGGAGGGAGGGGAGCGTGCGGGGGAGCGTGCGGGGGAGCGTGCGTAGGGAGGGGTGCTCCGGCAAGCTGGCAGTTCTCGCGGCCAAAGGTCAAGGGGTCAAACACCAAGCGAACGGACACTGATGCGACCCCCGCCGAAGTTAGTTGGTAGCACTGCTGCTCCACGGCGTACATTTCCTACCAGCCCATAGGGTTTACATGTTAAATGGCCTGTTTTCGGCGAGCCTCGGTCAACCTTTGAAGGAATCAATAGTTCTTAGTCTCAAATGATAGATCGATTAATTTTCTTTCGACAATTCCTCTACCATTTTTCACGAAACCCAGCCGATCTTCTACGGCGTACAGGGTAAAGATTTCTCTGCACGCCAGCACCCGCGATCCGCCTCTCCGATCGTCGGCGCGCGGTCCTCGGTAGCGCAGTCGGTAGCGTATCGGGCTACGGATCCGAGGGTCGTGAGCTCGAATCCTGGGAGCGCCGCGTGATTTTGGCTAGAATTGAATGATGTAGATTCTTGAATGTTTGCATAATCAATTATTAATAGCTAATTGAATGTATCTGCCCACTAATCGGCCCCTAAAACCTGTTATTTAAGAAATTTAAGAAATGAATGTCACGTGCGCGTCACGACTGCAAACCATAAGCGCTACCATATTCTAGTTTGAGCTAACTTTTTGCTAGTCCCGACCACATATAGTAGGCTTTCTAGTAGTTATACTAGAAATTCCTACCAAAGTTCGTCCTACCCTTCACTCAATATACCCTGCACTGATGTGGGTTCGTGGGGATCGTGAACTTTTGTGTGGTAGATGCGTCTTGCGATGCACGGGTGATACGCCAGGTCTAAGCCAAAGGATTCAGGGGAGAGTCAACTACGGCGAATAATGGTGCTGAAAAATGGAATGTATGGGTCAATGCAAGCCTTCATGACTATAAACAACTTTTCTGAGGACGCAAAGACCAGCATTGAATAACGATATCCAGATCGAAATTAGCAATGATTTATAA